GTAGCTCTACTTGAATCGTGGGGATTCTCTCTTTTTGCCTACCCATCGAGATAATACCAAGGACGGTTTGTATTTTTTCATGGCAGTCTTGAAGGTCTGAACCAATTGGAGAGTGCCACCTACTACCGACCAGGGACCATAACATGGGTTGATCAGAAAAATAATGAAGCAAAAGCTTAGAATTTAGCGAAGCAGAAACGAAAAAGGAACATCTGATTGGGAAAGTTGAGTGTTGCCATGGTGGTCCAAATCAGCTTTGATAGCTTTATCCATCCTCTTTAAATTCTTACTAGTAAGGAAAGGGATGCGGATATTCCCAGTTTATGAACTTGTGTTCGTTAAGGATTGTTTAGGGACGCGGTATTATCTATGTTTATAAAAAATTTAAAAAAGTTTTATTTTTTATTTTTATTAAAATTTAATATATTTAATATATTTTGAATTATTTTAATATACTGATATTAAAAATAATTTTTAAAAAATAAAAAAATTATTGACATACATTTTAATAAAAAATATTATTTGAAAAACAACTACTATTATACTGTCAAACACATGTATTTCCTTCTCTTTATGGGTTTTTGTGTTAAGTTTTATTTGATATTGTATTTCATGTATTAATTTTAAGTGATTTTTAAAGTATTCTTTATTTTATTAATTTTTTTTATAATTTTATGTTTTTTTAAATATTTTTATAAGAGCAAAAATATATCAAAACATTAACTTCATGTATTTTTATATAAAAACGTTAATTTTTAAAATATCTATCTAACGTTGAAGTTTGATTTTTATATATATAGTTTGTTGAAGATGAATCATGATATTAATTCATTACATGAATAAATTATAATAATATTTTATAATATAGTAATTTAGATTTTTGTGATATAAATTTAAAGATTCCTTGGCAATTAAAAAAGATAATTTAATATTGAAATTAAACCATGACTCTAGATCCTTTCAGCATCATCATCAACATGATTAATGAAGTGATGATGAGATGAATCTTTATGTACATTTTACACGACATTCCCATTTGGTGTCCTCCCATTTGCAAGCACGTGACAAATATTATTTTTGAAGGCCCACATGAGATGTTATCCATGGTGATGTTATTATCCCAAGCGGCTCTTCTGCCAAACTCCACTAAAGGTCAATAATGAAGTTTCAAATATTTGTATCTAGAACTTTCAAGATGACCAATTGATAACATCACCATGGTATCAATTTATTCTATCTTTATCTCCTTAAAGAAAAAAGAAAATGGATTGCTCTAAATATTTCATAAATATTCTT